CTAAAGTCCCGCCTAGCTACGGAAACGATGTAGCGGCTACGCGGGATTTTTTCAAACCTCACCGAAAATGTCTCGGCTGGAGCTTTGTCCTGGATAGAGATAACCAATTAGACGAAAGTTCTGCTTCTGAAGGATCACGTGATCCCATTCTGAGCGATAATCGATTACTTTTCGCGTTCAGTCTTTGTAGTAAGTGAAAATGGTAACCTAGCTACGTGAGTTTTCTGGAAATGTGCGGGTTCTGCGAATTGTCCCTTTCGACGTCCAGTCCAGCGTAGCCAAAACATAATGCGATTGTGACATAAGTAATCTAAGCACAGAAATTAGCAAAGTATACGGTGCTTCTGGCTGCCCTCTTCGAGCGCACCCCACCATCTCCTTACTCCCAGGTGGCAAGCATTTATTGGCTCCTCCTTAAGCATGCCCCACCACCGCCTCTTTCCCATCTCCTCAACGCCCTATATCGATGGCAAGACCATAACTCCTGAAAACTACTAGTACTGTAGTTACGATTTTAGAATTAAAAAAAAAAAAAAAAAAAAAAAAAAAAAAAAAAAAAAAAATCATATATCAGAAAGTTCAACTAAGAAAAATTCAGCTAGAAACTAAATAAAAAATAATGTTAGATTTAAAAGATTTTAATTATAACTTTTAACTAAGTCGGCACGCCTCGAGAATCTACACATTACGAGAAATGTGTCATGAGATCTAAAATTCTTTGGTAATATGATAGCTCGAAATATCTATGATTTATTCAAAAATAATTAAAGTTTTTATTTTAAGTACCATCAGCTATATTTTTCTTATGCATTATTATTAACATATTTCTTTCGTATTAGCATGCATGCTGCCCTGAAAATTTCAATTTAAACAAACTAGGATACTTCTTAATTTAATATAAATTACTATAAAGTGAAGTTCTAGAAAATTTGAAAATTAAACATTAATTACTGGAAATCCAAGAAGTAACTGCTATAAATGAGAATCTAGTTTTGGATGATGAGAAAACAGAGAGCCCTCGTATGGCGCATTTACTCGGGATGACCACCTTTGAAAGAAAATTCGTATTTCTGAGAACGTACCTAATCATCGATGTGCAATTAGAATCTGCGTTTCATGTTCCTGAAAACTTGTTTATATTTGTCATTTTTCCCCCCAATGGTGGGCACTTGCCTATAACGGCATTGATCACTACTAAGGCCAGAAGTGGTGGTCATTTTATTGTGGAGGCATCTAATAAGCGCCCACCGCTACCATCCTATGAACGGACAGACACTTTTACATCCATGCCTTCTCCGGGATTCGAACCCGGGCCCTTTGGTATCGCAGTCAGGCTTTCCTAACCGCTATACCGCATGGACGGTTATATTTGTAAAATAAAATTCAAATTAATAATAATCCCCAAGTAATATAGAATAAATATAATCATCCTTTTTTTTTCAAACTTTTGTTTATATTCTTGGTCTAGTTGTTATCTCTAATCTACTTACGTGCACTTATTTCTATTATGATCGTGTTGTAGAGAAAAATGTAATGAGATACGATGCAGAAAACCATTCTTTTAACAGGGGTCGATGAAAGAAAAGGGTTAGGAATCCGTGGTGTAGACAGATTTCAAAATTAAGATTCCATTACGAATTCACACTCTTTCAGTTAAAAATGCATACCGTTTTAGAATTTTAATCGCAATCCAACACACGCACTCTTACATGCTAATGCCTATCCTGACGTCCGTTTATTATGTTCTCATGCTACTTAATTTTAGAAAATAAAGAGTATGTGAAACGAAAGGCATCTGAATCGAAAAATATAAAATATATTTTGGTGAGGGGGGAAAGAACTTCAAAAATAAAACACTTAACACCTGAAATTATTTCTGATGGCCTGATGGATTGAAAGTCGAAGTTTTCAGTAGTTTGACTCTTAATTATCTGAAGTAAATTTACTTCATTAGTTCATTTTCTAAAAAAATTCCAATTAAAAGTAGTTAAGCTATAGAGATGAAGGAAAATTTAATATCCAGCTATATTTGAGATACAATATGCCACATTTAAAGCCAAATCCGTGATTTCCGATTATTGGCGCGATCAGATACACTATATAAACATGTAACTGAATGCTTTTAATTCCTTCGAAGCCGCGAATGATAAGTAAACTTCCGAGCTAATGACTATGAGTTCTGTATAAGACGATCACCATGAGTTCTGTATAAGACGAACACCCATAGTTCCAGACGTTTTCAGTTACGGTGAAAATGGTCGTCTTGGAGAAGTGATCATTTATGTAGGTGTTTAATTAGGGTCTCGGAAAAACGTATCACTTACTATGAAAGATGGTTGCAACTAAATGGTTCAATCTGTTATAATTTGTAAGCTAAATGAAAGAAAAATAAAACCAATATCTTTTCAATGTTTCCAGATATACTGGTCGCTTTCAGAAGTGGTCGTCTTAGAGGGATGGTTGTCACAAAAGGTGAATTTCTTTTGCAGCGATCAGTAATGAAATATTGGCTAAAATTTTCTTTAAGATGATTATGCACGGTTCCAGTTCATTATCCTTTTTACGCAGAGATGATTGTCTTAGACAGGTATGCCGTTCAGTACTGACTTTATTTAATAAATCCGGGTCACGTTCGAAAAGGACACCTTAAGGAGGTCACCGCCATTACAGGATTTACTGTACTTAGCAGAATTAATAACAGAAATAATTTTTTTAATATATTTTCTTACCACAGTTCAATGGGCCGTGCATAGCAGAATCCATGAAATTTTGTACACTTTTTAATAAGATATGAAACTGAAAACTTTCAATAAAACTAAAATAATAATAATTTCATTCTTTTAATTATTTACATTAGTAGAGACATTAGGTTATTTGGAAGCAGGAGGAATGAAAAATGAGCAACGCCTTTGTCGGGAATCGAACCACAGACCTCTGGAATACGCGCCCAGCGTGCAGACCACGGCACCACGAATGTACGCTAAGAAGGCGGGAGAAATACATTATCTCTGTAAACTACAATATTACCTATCCTATATGCAGGTTGTGGATGTTATGAAACAAGCACTATTGTAACATGCTTATTCTCCTTAGAAATCAATGATTAAATTATTTAAATGAACAGGAGAAAAATTACAGTTACATTTTTCTTAAATGTTTACGAAAACTATGTTAAACTAAAAATCGTAAAAATTCTTTATAATTTTATTATAATGCAGTCATAATCAAAGTGACAAATATAATGAAGTTTAATTGTTATTGAAACTAAGTGTCGACGCATTTCGTAAATAACGTGAAAATAGTTAAGTCACACCAGATCATCAAATATTTTAATATTAAATTTCACAGTTGTCATTTAATCGATATTTTTCATTTCCTTTAGATACGATATTACTGGTTCTTCCATCTTTCAGGTTGAATATCGGAACAAATTTTAATGTTTGGAGCAAATCTTTTTTAAAAAGTCGCTTTTGTAACTGTTGTCAGAATTCGTAATTCTCTTTAAAAGTTTTGTTTCACCAGAATGAGAATATTTTCATAATTCATACAAAAATACAATAACCGCTTCTGAAAAATGAGCAGCCTTTCTGAGGACATGATTAAATAGTAGTGCTGAACATGATAATAAGCATATTTTTTCAGGGACTTCTTTCTATCACAGATGATCAAAACAGAATGAAACTATGAGTGGTCATTTGAGAGAGATTTCATTTTATTCCGATTTTTAAAGCCCTTTACGCTATAACATATTCTTTCCTGGCAAAAATACGTTTTAAAAATAATTATATTTAAAATAAAATAAAAATAGAATTAATCAATAATGGATTGGCAAATTTGGTTAAATTAAAATAAAATAAAAATAGAATTAATCAATAATGGATTGGCAAATGTAGATGAAAACTTGGAAAATTAGTCGAAAATTCAAAATGTCTCACGTTTTCTATGAAACACTAGACCAGGGATGGCCAATCCAAGGCATGAGTGCCGCAGTGCGGCACACTAAGACCTATTGAAAAATTAAACGATTTCAAAAAATTATAATATCATCTGTATCAACTCCATCAATAGATACACATATAAGTACGTATAGCTAATTTTTCTGCAAGACGTTAACTGTTACGAATCGAAATTATTGACCTACAGCAGCAAAACATCCTGAAAAGCAAATGTAAAGAACTTATTTCAACTCCAAATGATCAAAATTATATACGTTTTCTATTATGAACATAATAAAATCAAAATATCCTTCAAGATTAAATGATATGCACCTAAAACACTTAATTTTGTTAGCATCTGCAAGAACTAATCCTAGGTGACTTGTTACAAAAACTACATATTTAAAAATTAAGTACCGACTGTTTAAGTTATTTAGAATTAAATATTTCAAATTATTCATTTTTATTTTATACATAACTTAACTTACCGAACCTTTAAAAATGTTTATTAACAATAAAACCCTAGTTTGTACTTTTTAAATTTTGTTATATTATGTTTAAATGTCCACTACTCAGATTTATATAAAAAAATGTGCTCTTTGCGTAAAAATCCCATAATCAGCCTATAAATTACATTTTATTCACTTTTTTTATATATTTTTTAGTATGTTGGAAAAGTTGGAAGTAGCACACATAATATATATTTTTTTTTTCATAATAATAGCACTCTTCCCAAAAATGTTAGCCACCCCTGCACTAGACAATGAGATATCTGAATATATCTTATTCATACAAGTGTTGAATGATATTTGTGAAAGAAACAGCGCAAAATAAATACATTGAAAATCCTCCATAAGAGAATCATCCACAAATCCAAACAATTTTGATCTTCTCCGGAGAGGATTGCCTTTAGGTGAGGTTTAAAGATATTTATTACCGAATGTTCATAATATTTACAGAGAAGTTGGTCACTTTAAGAAGAGGTCCGCATGAAGGTTTTACTATATTTATTTCTTCTTGTACCTATTACGCTAATTAATTAATAATGGCTCATTCAATGCATAATAATTTAAATACTTCAATTTATTCATAAACTCTCATCAAAAAATTTGTACATGTTCCTCGAAATATAACAACATCAAAAGACAAAATGCAAACATTTAAAATTAGCAAAATATGTAATATTTTGTATTCATTTTTGATTATATAGCCACAAATGCAAAGAGAGAAAATAAACTTATTGTAAAACATACACAAGATTAGGAACTAATACACAAAATAATTTACTTTTTCTCACGGAAACGGATGGTTACTTCCATGATAGTTGAATTTTTCTACGAAAATTTTATAGAATGCATTCACATAAGTATAATTCTCCGGATTTAGTAGGATTTTCTCCTGAACGATTAACTCCTCCACGATTTATCCTTTTTCATAGATTTCCATCTGGTGTGAAATGGGGAACATTTCTTTAGCAAAAAATATTTCTTTCTAAAACGTTAATATAAAGGAAAGATCAGTTGCATTTGACAATATTTTACTTAATAGTATGTAAGTTATTGTTTGGTTTTTAATGACACAGCAGGGGTAATTTTTGTAAAATAATAACTATTATGTTAAATTTTAATGCATTAGGGTTTTGTAATAAAAAACAAGAAGTTTAAGTTCTCATTTACAGATACTACCACTTATTTATCAAGTCACATTGCTGAAATAAAAAGATGTACAAGACTTGCTTCAAAATTGTGTTGCTACTTGTTATTAAAAAGATGTGAATTTTTATCGTTTAGCTTAAAGACATAAGCATTATATGAATCACACCTATATAAGAAAAGGAGAAAATATATAATTGAAAATGATTTTCACTCTTCATTAAAAGCAATCGAACAAAGAAAACAAATTCTTTTACAATGGTAAAAGTGCTATGAACGTGCGACTTTACACAAATATGTCCACTATCTGCGTGATATTATAGTCAAAATTCTTATCAGTTTAGATGCAGCAGAAGATATGATTAATTGCGATTTACACATAAGCTCAGATGGAAATTGTTCTGGAAAAATGTGTCAAGTCGTAACTACGAACAATTCACCGAGATTTCAATTTCCTAAATTCCAGTATTTAATGTCATAAAGAAACAGGCTATTATATAGTTATTTCTTCCTTCTATTCTGTATAATACTTAATACAAGACATTACGTAGACATCATACCTCTTAATGAAAACCGTTAATTTTGTTTCCATTATTTTTCAATGGTTTACATTTAAATTAATTTATTATGTTCTAGTATCATTTCTTTCAAGGTTGAAGATGATGTATCAATGAAAAATTCAACATATTTTATACATCAGTTCAAATCACGGGTTCCTGGTTTATGTCTTCAAATCAAAAAGTTCTATGATTCCATGAGTTTTCTTTCAAATCTAAATCAAATTGTTCTTTTGACACAGTATTTCTGCATTTACTTCTTTGTTTCTTCACTGCAATATCTGTAAACCAGAAATCCATATAAATTCACAGCGTTCGTTCTTTTCATTTACACTAAACGATTAATATTTATGTCATTTTTACATACATACTTCTTAAAATTTTAATAAATTAAATTCTGGTCGTTCTCTCTTATTATAAAACTTATGACTTTGTTGATAGTATAAGAGAACTTGCCGAAGGCACTCTCAATGGCTAATACTCTCTTCAGAGAGAAATTATATTTCGAAAATACAGAAATACTTTTTAAATGCAGCTATAATTTTCTTTCTTATATTTTCACTGAGCATAGGTACTGCTACCACCTGAACATAAAAAGTACTTGCTATCAGTATAGGAAGAACCTTGTGGTGCAGCAGGCATACTGGGGCTTAGAGAACTGCAAAGGGATGTCATGGAAGGAAGACTACCATTGTTCACCGAAGAAGAGCCATTCGTCTGTTGGTTAATTGAATAAGAATTGCGGTCGCAGTTAGTGGATGGCAGTGCTGATGGAAGACGGACGGACCATTGGTTGATGGGAGGAGAAGCTAAAAAAAAGTAATAAAATATTTAGTAACATTTTTAAAAATGTACTGTAATAATTTTGTATACTTATATTTTACATTTATATAGCACTATGTAAAAAAACATGTTGTTATTAAAAGCAATTAACATTAAAAATATATATTTATAACATAATAAAAGTCATATTCATCCCCTAGTTATTTTTTAATGAAATAAAAATTACCAAAAATTAACACCTTCGGGGTAAATGGTTAATTTCCTTTAAATTAAGTTAAAAACGTTGTTTCATATTTATTTATAATAAAGGGCTTTATCTTTGTAGAGACAATAGGGTTTTTGAGGCAGAAGACGGGAAAATGTGCAATGCTCTCGCCGGGACTCGAACCTGGACCTCTCGAATACGCGCCGAGTGGGCTGCCGTTACACCACGAAGGCATGCTGGAAGGAGTAAGAAAATATCCTCTTTTAAAGGGCAACCGGGGATTAGGGAATCCAATCGTTAAATCTTGGTGGTGATGAATTATTATACACCACCTTTTAGTTTAGGCGTCAGTGTAGAGATATTAGGGTTTTTGAAGCAGGAGACGTGAAAATGAGCGCTACCCTCTCGGGGACTCGAACCTGGACCTTTCGAATACGTGCCGAGTGTGCTACCATTACGCCACGAAGGCATGCTGGAAAGAGGGGGAAATTATATCTTTTACTTTTTGAATATCAGAAACGTAAATCTTAATAAACTAAAATGCATTGATTTTGAAATGTATGACAGGACAATTATATATAAACGTCAAACAAAGCTTCGCACATTCTAACAATAAATCATGAATTACTCCGATTAAAAGCTTAAAATTTTTTAATTTTCTTTGGCAATATTTCAGAACTGTTAATTCCAAAAAGTAGTAAAGACGGTAAACTGTTAATTCCAAATAGTAGTAAAGACGGTAAACTGTTAACTTCAAAAAGTAGTAAAAACGGTAAACTGTTAATTCCAAAAAGTAGTAAAGACGGTATGTTAGACACAGCTTATGTTACATATGAAGTTCGCAGAAAACTTGAATAGTAAAATAGTTCTATTAAAAAAAGAAATTTTAAATACTGACGTAAATTTCAATCAATCATATTCAATGAATATAAAAACTGACAGACAATTTTATTACCCGAGAATTCTTGAAAATGTTATTCGAAAAAATATCACAAATTCATATCCATTTGATGTTTTATCACGCAAAATTTACAAGAGTTTGTTATTAAACTTTGTTGTCAATTTAATATTCAGCAAATGATTTCCCATTTAAATTTTCCATTGATTTTTCATTAAATATATTTTAAAATCGTATTAAAACAGAAATTTTACCCTATTTTAAATACATAATCCAAATAACTTAATAAATTTGCTCTTTCAATTAATTATGGCTATTTTAATTTCCTAGATACATTTTTAATTTTTTCTAATTAGCAATCATTTAGTTTAATACTTTAATATCTTTTAAATTACAACACATATAAATACCACTATTTCAATGTTCGTGATTTCTACATAAACGAAACACATTTATGGTTTTACTTGAGGTTATAAAAACTTTATGCTTTTATTACTTAAGTGCACATAAATGTAAAGTATCCCAAACCAAACAGTTTTTTATATAAAAATTAAAAAATTAAAACAAAAAAAAGTTTAAGTTTTTTTCATATAAACTTTATGGTTTTTACTTGACAGCTAACGCTAATTATTCCCAACTATACAGAATTTAATTCAAATATATAGATGTAAAAATATGTATAATAATTTAAAAGCGAAAATTTAATATTCATTATACACGAAATACTTTTCACCATTCCATGGTTAATGAGACCACATATTTAACATGCTCTTTTTGCTCTTTGCGCAGTACTTTGATATTATTATGAAATTTATTAGAAAATTATTTCGGCTGCATTTTCACTTATGTTAACAAAACTAAATTTTCATAAATGTCAAAACGAGGCAAGACCTTTGTCTAGCATTTGAGCATTAGTATGAATGTAACATTGAATAGACGAACATAATTTTATTTGTAAAATACACCATGAAATATTAGGAGCTTTGTTAACGGGAACTGGCGGTTATATCGGTTATGGTTATGACTACATTGTTATCTAAGTGAATTCAGTTAAGAATTTTTCCAACATAACGTTAGAAAGCAGGACAGAATGAATCCAACAAAATCTTGGCAGCCTTGTGACGACTTCTGCCAACAGTTTGGACACTGTTTACCATAAAAATCCACCATCTGGAGTTCGAGGGCAGCCATTCCTCCGCGGAGGAACTTCGAAACAGCTATTACACAGAATATATTTTTAACACTCACTTCTTTAAAGTTTCGTCAGGGTTTGGTAGAAAAAAGAAAGAAAAGAAAAAAGGATCTAGTTTTACGGCTAATATTTTTCCCGCTTTTCACATGCTCGCCGGAGGCGGTTGTAGCAATCGGTTCATGGTTTATCTTAAAAGATAGAGATTGCTCCCTTCTTCTGACAATGCTCCCTTCTCCATGTCGATGACAGCGTGTGTGGTCTTAATAGAGAGACGTAAAAATCTGAGATCAGCCAACTTTTCTGTCGTCGTTTAGTAGCAAAATTCTAAACTCGGGTTTCAATTTTCAACCATGGGGAGCTTTATGGTGAGCACCCTAAAATGAAGTGCCCCTAAAATTACAAATAATTCAGGAGGCGGAATGATGACTTTGGTAAAAAATACGTTTTATTATGATTAAACTGTATAAATGTGTACACATTTTATACAAAGCAAGATAGGATTCAGCTAAAGTTTTTTTTACAAGAAGACAGATATCGGATGCTTCTAGAGTATGCCAAACAAGATGGTAAACTGAGATTATTACATTGATATTCGCTTGGAAGAAACTTACATAATCTTTTATTGACAATATTCAAATAATATGTGTATAATTGGTATAACACTGTTTTATTAATGAATAAGATGAATGATTTGGCTATGAAGATATATGGGAGTTCTACAAAGAGTAAGGAAGAATATTAGAGAAAGTTACCTTTTTAGCTCAATGGAGCGTTAACTCAGAAAGACTATTAATTTAGTTTGGGCATTTTGTGTCGATTCACTATAAACGGCGAATCACTTTTGAAGTTGTTGCCACCAAATATTATCGCCCTGCATTATACTTAAAGAAATTAAATAATGAAGAATCTGCATAAATGTACGTATATTTTTCGCATTGTGCTAAAACAACGGTACCTAGCCTAGGTCTCCACCTGAATATGGGCATCTGGAAGCCCTAATTTGGAATTTGAAAATTTTTTTATTATCTATTTCATATTTTGCCAGACAATAAAGAATTTTTGATTAAGAAACTCAACGATTTCAAAGCAAGGAATGGCAACGCTTTAGGGGAGGTGAAATCATATCGAGCGCGTGAGACAGTACATCGGAAATTCTAAAGATAAGCTCTTTTAAATATTTTGGATATTGATGTTGGATTCAATTTTATCGTTTAAGTGCGAAGAATATTTAATAAAACTCACAAAAGGTAACACACAAAACGTTAAAAAACTCCCCTTTGGGCGTCGGCTCGAGCAGTATCAAAATGCACTGCGTATAGCCAAAACATTTGTTTATTTATTTGAATACGACAAAATCCCTATGAATAAAATACCTGACTAAGCAGAGAAATGTCTTCGTGGTAGAGGAAGAATTATAACATCTCATGTGTCGCAGTCGCGACAGGTGCCACGTTTTAAACACTTCTAAATTATAATTAAAAAAAAAAAAAATAAACAACTTTGTACCTTAACGCTACAGGGAATTTTTATAAGTTAAAATCTCCGTTTCACAGCTCTGACACTGCTTCGCAGCGGACTTTATACAGGAAAAGGGTACATAGATTTGTATTTACACTGCACATGTCGGAAATCAAGAAAATACATATGCATCTAGGCTGAATACGAAATTATGAAAATATACACGCATCTAATGAAGATGGTCCACAGAGAGAGTTTTTTTTTTAGATGATCACTTCTGAAATTATTTTATTGTAGTATTTAGGAGTATATTAGTAAGCTTTGAGCATCACCTCTTGAAGACGCTCTACTCCGCTGACTACCAAAATCATCTACAGGTTAAGAGTGGTCGTCTTATAGAGCGTTCTCTGTAATTATACGCATTTCCATTGAATAAAATATAAAAGAGGTTTTCCTTCCTTTGGGGTTTAAAATTGGGAAAAATTATTCTTCTTACTTGACTCATGGACCTAAACAAACAGCAATTTAGCAAAACATTATTATCTCGCATACCTTAAGATTACAACTTACAACTTCAGCACTTACAATATACCATCATCTTCAATTTTTTCGTATTATTCGATATAAAAGATATATTAATATTCGATATATTCCATATATATATATAAATAATATTCGATATACTCTCTATATATAGATAATATTCGATATATTCCATATATATAGATAATATTCGATATATTAACCTCTTACTTAGTATATAGTTTTAGTGAAGATGATCGACATTAAAGAGTTCAGAATTAACTGCATATGGGTGAAAATAGAGAAAAAAATCATCATATTAAAATAAACGAACATCTGTATTAAACCACCAGAATAACTCTTTCGTATTCTGTAGATAATAACAATATTATCTACAGAGTACGAAAATTGTATACAGGATGCTTCGCTGTATTTTAATTTATAATAAATTCTAAGTTCTTTCAATCGCCCACTTTACACGTCCATTGCAGTTATTAATAGTTACTAACTCATTTAACACCATACAGTGAAACATCAGTCCTCTATCCATTAATGATATAATGAGCCGATATATAGCGAACTCGCTCTAAGACGAAAATCAATGGATATACATGATTCTGGCTTTCTGCGGAGATGATTATCTTACGGAATTTTCAATATCGACATTTATTTACGTTTTCGGAAATACTGGTTATTTTCAGAGGAAGTTGTCTTAGAGAGGTTGTTTGAAAGGAACTTCATTCTCCAGTTG